GGGGTGTACTTACCTCTGCCTTCTGCTTCCTCTTCCTCCTTCCCGCGGGCCCCGCCCCTTGGAATGTGGGAAGGGGAAGGGGCGGGGTGGGGGTGAGTAGACCTGGACTCCTCCGGAGGCCAGGTCTACCCCTGCAATGGAAATGGGTTGGTAGACCTGGGCTCCTCTGGAGGCCAGGTCTACCCCTGCAATGGAAAGGGGTTGGTAGACCTGGCCTCCTCCGGGGGAGTCCAGGTGTACCCCTGCAATTGGAAGGGGTTGGTAGACCTGGGCTCCTCCGGAGGCCAGGTCTACCCCTGCAATGGGAAGGGGTGGGGAGACCCGGCCTCCGGAGGGGGGGGGTGCTCCAGGGCAGGGGGAGGGGAAGATCAACCCAGGGGGTGGAGGAGACGGGGAACCGGCGGGATAGGGGGGGAACTTACCTCCTCCTCCTGCTTCCTCCTCTTCCTCATAGATGCGGAGGTCCTCCTCTCCCGCGAGTATCGCGGGTCCCCCACTTGTCTCTATATCTAATAGCCAAGTTGCCCCCTCTGTGTGGATATCTAAATCTGCACATCGGGGGCACTGGGGGGGGCAGAGAGATTTTTCTGCACACTTGGGGCAGTCCGCGGGTGTGCAGAAAAATCTAAGAAGTTGAAAAAATATACGGGGGATATTTAAATCCCCCCCAAAAGTAAAAGCGTTCCCTGTGCGTGCGCAGAGAAAGCTCTGGCCGTTGCGGGGGAAGGATCGGTGGGCCCGCTCAGGCCTCGCCACCGGTGCCCGGGGGGAGTGGGAGAAGGCTTGGCAGGCCTGCACGGCTCGCCGCCAGGGCGAGGGGAAGAATTGGTGGGCCCAGCGGCTGGGAGCCGTGCAGACCTCGCCACCGGTGCAGAGGGTAGGGGGAAAGATTGGTGGGCCCGGCAGCTGGGAGCCACGTGGGCCTCGCCGTTGGTGTCGGAGGGTTGGGGGTAGAAGGCTCACCTGCGGCTGCTTCCTTCTCCACGTGGAGCTCCTTCTCTCTTCCCCGCGAGTATCGCGGGTCCCCACTTCTTGTTTAAATAAAATCACAAACAGTACAAAATAAAACATTACATAAAGTGCTAGTATAAGGCTAGTATAATTCATGTCGAAGGCTAGTATAATTCATAGCCAGTGATGGTGATTGCAGGATCCTTGTAATCAACTACCTCTGTAGTCTAGGTTTTGTCAGACTATTGATCATATCTTGAGTTGGTGTTGGCATTGGGGCCAGGGCCTGGTTGTTAGAAGGGTGGCCCCTAATCGAAAGCCTGGTGGAAGAGCTTTGTTTTACAGGCCCTGTGGACCTGATGTCATCCAGGAGCTCATTCCACCAGGCCGGGGCCGCCACTGAAAAGGCCCTGGCCCTTGTCGCAGCTAGCTTGACTTCTTTGGGGCCTGGAAGGGCCAGGCGATTTTGGGACCCCGATCTTAGTGCCCTCTGGGGAACATGTGGGGAAAGCGGTCCCTTGGGTTATTTATTTATTTGTTAAAAATATTTCTGTCCTTCCTCCCTTTGTGGTTCGAGGCGGCTTGCGATAATAGCTAAAGAAACATTTTCAGTTTAAAGACAAAGCTAAAATAGCCAAAGGAACTGCGGTGGCTCAAGTGGTGAAGACGCTGAACTGCAGGCTGTGGAAGGTCGGTAGTTCAGCAGTTCGAGACCCGAGTGTGCCGCATGACGGAGTGAGCTCCCGTCTCTAGTTCCACCTCCTGCCAACCTAGCAGTTCGAAAGCAAGAAATTGCAAGTAGATAAATAGGTACCACTTCAGTGGGAAGGTAACAGCATTCTGTGTGCCTTGGTGTTTAGTCATGCCGGCCACATGACCACAGAAACGTCTTCGGACAGCGTTGGCTCTTCGGCTTGGAGACGGAGATGAGCACCGCAACCCTAGAGTTGGACTCGACTAGCTTTCGAGCAAGGGAACCTTTACCTTTACCTTTAAAATAGCCAACCCCACATCTCTCCTCCTCCAACCCCAGAAGACGGGTGCCGTTCAAACCCCCTCAAAAGCCCTGGCAAATAACCGGCAGGCCCGGCAAGTCCAATGTTCCCTCTAAGCTGTGGAGTCTTGTGAGCAAAAATCCTACTTTGTGAGCTACCGGTATTAAAGTTGCAAGCAAGCGATTGGGAACCCCCTCAAAAGCCCTGGCAAATAACCGGCAGGCCCGGCAAGTCCAATGTTCCCTCTAAGCTGTGGAGTCTTGTGAGCAAAAATCCTACTTTGTGAGCTACCGGTATTAAAGTTGCAAGCAAGCGATTGGGCTACTGCATAAATTAGTCAGCTCCAGACCCATCCCTCCTGAGCTAAGACAAAAATGTTTGAGCCGGAGGCTAAAAAACTGTGAGCTGGCTCACACCAACTCAGCTTAGAGGGAACACTGCTGGCAACACCTTCTGGTAAACAAATTTTTATTTTCCATAGGATTTCAACATTTAAAATTTAACTATTTCATCTTTTCCATTGTTTACCCCATTCCCATTTCCTCCCCTCCCTCCTGTGGCTTCCCGCAATGCTTCCCCCCCGCTCCACATTACTTTACATCATCAATTATATCATTTTCTTATCTTTACAGTCTCAAGATAACATCATTTGACTTAATATTGATCTAAACATATTAAATTTTGTTTCACATCCCAGTTCTTTTCCAGATATGTTTTAAAGTCACTCCATTCTTGAAAAAACACGTCATCTTCTTTGTTATTCAACTTTTTCGTGATTTTATCCATTTCAGCCATGAACAGAACTTTTTGTATCCAGTCTTCTATCTCTGGCACTTTCTCTGTTTTCCAAAATTGTGCATAAATCATTCTCGCTGTTGTTATTAAGTACCAGAGTAAAGTCTTTTTAGTCGTATTGACTTCTTCCATTTTCAGTCCCAAAAGCAGAATTTCTGGTGCTTTTTTGAAAGAGCATTTCAATATTTTTTGCATTTCTTTGTGGACTTTTGTCCAAAAATCTACAGCTTTCTCGCAAGTCCACCACATATGGTAAAATGAGCCCTCATGACTCTTACATTTCCAGCATTTGTTTGACATGTTCTGGTTCATATTTGCAAGCTGGCAACACCTTCTGATGATCTCCGTGGAGGGCCCCTCCCAGCTCGTTGAGGGAGCCCCTTCCACAGAGACGGAGCCACGATGAAAAAGGCCCCGGGCTCCGGTCAGTGCCAGGCGGGCCACCCTGAGTGGTGGGAGAGCCAGCAGATAGCTGCCTGCCGACCATAGTTGGGGCCAGTGTTCCCTCTAAGCTGAGTTGGTGTGAGCCAGCTCACAGTTTTTTAGCCTCCGGCTCGCACATTTTTTGCCTTCGCTCAGGAAGGAGGGCTCCAGAGCAAACTGATTTATGCAGTAGCCAAATCGGCTCGCTCACAACTTTAATGCCAGTCGCTCACCAAGGAGAGGGCAGCCTCCCTTGCAATACGTAGAGAGAAGATCAATCTTAATCCATAATTCATATATTCTAAGCTTGGACGATTTTATTTTATAGTTCACTATTTTAGCCCATATCTTATGTGTGTGTTTAGTTTTATTTTTTGTATTTTAAGCTGGCGAAAGCCGTTACTTAAACTTTGATTGGTTGATTCATTGACAAAGCTGAAATTTTGCTCACAATTCTCCATAGCCTTGAGGGAGCATTGGTTGGCGCACAGGGACGCATGGAAGGACATGGTCCTTCAAATGTGTGAGTCCTAAACCATGGAGGGCTTTAAAGGTCTCCATCTTGCCAGCTACTGTCGCTGTTTCAAAATGGGAAACTTATGTTCCCAGCGGCTAGCACGACGGTATTATGGCTGCCGCATTCTGGGCCAGTTGTCATTTCCGGGTTGTCTTTAAGGGCAACACCAGGTAGAGCACATTGCAGTAGTCCAGCTGTGTGGTTCCAGAAGCATGGGTCATACGAACATAAGAACATAAGAGACGCCAATGTTGGATCAGGCCAAAGGCCCATCTAGTCCAACACTGTCACACAGTGGCCAAAAATACCGGATGCCATCAGGAGGTCCACCAGTGGGCCAGGACATTAGAAGCCCTCCCACTGTTGCCCCCCCCCAAGCACCAAGAAGACAGAGCATCCCTTGCCCCAGAGCCCCTATCTATACCTTGTGGCTAATAGCCACTGATGGACCTCTGCTCCAGATGCCTATCTAATTCCCTTTTGAAGCCGTCCATGCTTGTAGCCGCCACCACTTCCTGTGGCAGTGAATTCCAAGTGTTAATCACTCTTTGGGTGAAGAAGTACTTCCTCTTATCCGTTCTAACCCAACCGCTCAGCAATTTCATGGAGTGCCCAGGAGTTCTTGTATTGTGAGAAAGGGAGAAAAGTACCTCTTTCTCTACCTGCTCTTTCCCATGCATAATCTTGTAAACCTCAATCATGTCTCCCCTCAGTCTCTTTTCTCCAAGCTAAAGAGCCCTAAGCGCTTTAACCTTTCCTCATAGGAAAGGTCAGGTAATCCAGCCTTGGCTGGAAGGGTGGGGTAGAAATTTAATCAATCAATCAATCTAGGTAACAAGAGAGTTGCTGAACTGGATGCAACTGATAGCCATTCCTGGCCACCGTGCCAACCTGCTTCTCAAACAGCAAGGCAGGGGCCTGTGAACACCCCCAAGCTCTTAAGCTGCTCTGAAAAATCCAATGTCACTCCATCTAGGGGAAGCGGATTCAGTCCCCCTTAGCATAACATGAAGGGCCATCCACATGGGATTTGCTTCCTTATGGCTAGGTGGGGATATTCAGCTTTTTTGAAGTGGCCTTACTCATGTACCTTTAGCAACAATATAAGACATGAAGAAGACTTTTTTCCTTTTCATCTGGTATGCCCCCAATCACCCGTTGTTCCTACCCTAAGTTTTAATTGTTAAGACACTGAACTGCAGGCTGTGGAAGGTCGGTAGTTCAGAAGTTCGAGACCCGAGTGTGCCGCATGACGGAGAGAGCTCCCGTCTCTAGTTCCAGCTCCTGCCAACCTAGCAGTTCGAAAGCAAGACATTGCAAGTAGATAAATAGGTACCACTTCCGCTTCAGTGGGAAGGTAACAGCGTTCCGTGCGCCTCGGTGTTGAGTCATGCCGGCCACATGACCACTGAAATGTCTTCGGACAGCGCTGGCTCTTCAGCTTGAAAACAGAGATGAGCACCGCATCCCTAGAGTCGGATTCGACTGGCTTTCGAGCAAGGGAAACCTTTACCTTTACTATAAGTATTTTAGTTTTGGTTTTAATTGTTTTAATGTTTGTGGGAGTGGGATTTTTTCTTTGGCTTGTCCTTAATGGTTCTGAAGATTCTTTTTTTTAAAATGATGTGTGTTTTTAGCCTGTTAGCCTCCTTGGTGGCTTTGATGAGATCGAGAAAGGCAGGGGATCGATTCTTGTCAATAAAGAGGTGGCTTAATATTCCCATCTTTGTCCCTTTGCTTTCTCGATGGCGCTCTTCTGCAGGACTGCGGCGGGCTCTTGTCCGAAGGAGACAATCAAGGCTGCTACCCTCTGGACGGGCACGTCCTCTGCAAGACCTGCAACTCGGCCCAGATTCAAGCCCTCACGGCAAAGGCGAGCACCGACCTCTGAGCACACTCAGCCCCCTAGGGAGAATGGCAGGGCCTTTGCCTCTCGTGCTGCTGGAAGGGCTTTTTCTTGAGAGTTTAATCCTTAGCAGTGAGGGGGGAAAACCCACCCATCACTGTGCCCTCCCATCTACGCTGCAGATATCAGCTGATTGCAAAATTAGTTCCTTTTCCCCGAGGAACCCTGGGGACGGGGATGTGCAAAGAGAATTGTTATGCAAACTACAATTCCCAGAATCCTTTGCGGGATGCTGCAAGTTGTATAAAATGGGTAGAAGTTTGTAGTGCAGGTGTACCCACCGCCTCCAGGGACACCCACGTGCTATTTCAGCATTTGCCACTTCCTAGTTTACATGCTCCAGGGAAGAATCTTCCTGCCGCCTTCCTAGTCTCTGTCTGCTTCCAGTTTAACCACTGCTCCAACCGGAAATCCACTCTCTCTCTCATATAAATCTTAACCTATTAATATTTCCAGTTACTGATACTTAGGGTTTTTTTTCCCTTCACATAAACCATCAAGTACTGAGCTTGTTTGCACACCAATGCACAAATACATTTTATATCTATAGTTAGACCTTATATGAAAATGTATCATACTATTTTGCTAGTGCCTTAAAGACAGTTATAGCAGCAATAAAAAAAAATGAAACGATTTCAGAGACTCTGGGCTTTCCCGTATTATTATTTTCCTCCCTTGCGCGTCCCTGCTCCGCAAGTATTTCGCTCCCTCTAGTGGTCGATTCAGTATTACATCACGTTGTGTCCTGCATAAAAACTTGCTGGAAATAAAGCGATGCAATAACGAATCAACCACTAGAGGGAGTGAAACACATGTGGAACCGGGGGGGGGGGACGGACCCCCAAATCAACAGGAACACGCAAGCGAGGGAAATACGAATGTGGGAAAGTTGTCTTTCTACATGGGAAGAGTCTTGCTAGCACCATCCGAAGTCACACTCAAAATCCTATTGATTGCACAGCCATTGGCCAACATAGTTGGAATGTAACCCGAGCGATCTCTCCAAAGCAAACGCTTGCCTCCGTCTGAACGAACGTTCAGACAGCAGCCACTCCGAACACTACAGCCCGAACAAACACTCATGGTGCTGATTCATAACTTGGTATCCCAGATCCGAAACTTCACGATATTCAATATCGGTTTTTACAACTGGATCATGAGGGATTTAAAAAAACAAACACATATATTGACTATAAGACTGGTAGAGTAGCCCAGTCTTATCAGAGCTTGGAGGCTGAGTAGGGTTTGTACTGGGGTGGCAGGCCACCAAGGAAGCCCACGGCTGCTATGCAGAGGCAGGCAAGGGCAAACCACCTCTGCTCCCCCCCTGCCTTGAAAACCCCCCGGGGGGGGGGGGGAGAGACTTTATGGAGTCACTGTTAAGTCGGTTGCAACTTGACAGCACACGAGATCGATAAAATAACCCGTAAAGGTAATATTAAGAGCTGCGGTGGCTCAAGTGGTTAAGACGCTGAACTGCAGGCTGTGGAAGGTCGGTAGTTCAGCAGTTCGAGACCCGAGTGTGCCGCATGACGGAGTGAGCTCCCGTCTCTAGTTCCAGCTCCTGCCAACCTAGCAGTTCGAAAGCAAGAAATTGCAAGTAGATAAATAGGTACCATTTCGGTGGGAAGGTAACAGCGTTCCGTGCGCCTCGGCGTCTAGTCACGCCGGCCACGTGACTACGGAAACGTCTTCGGACAGTGCTGGCTCTTCGGCTTGGAAACGGAGATGAGCACCGCAACCCCAGAGTCAGATTCGACTGGCTTTCGAGCAAGGGAGACCTTTACCTTTACCTTAAAGGTAATTTTAAGTATGCAACTTGCCCAGTTCAATCGTTTGCTCTCCCCACCCCCATCGCCCAGTGCTTCTCACTTTTTGGGAATGTGAGAATGAGGATGCTAAAAAGTAGAGGTCTTAGTAGAAACTTGAAAAGAAGAATATTTGCTTGGAATTTTCTGCCCTCTCCAGTAGACTTCGGACACCAGTGCATCCCCACGGACGCTGAGAGACGTCAAACTGCCATTTGCGGCAGGAGGAGGCCATATCTGCAGTGCTCGTCTGTTAAGGAGCTCTGCGGACGTCTCGGTCTTGGTGCTTCGACCCCAAAACCAGAAGTGTGAGAAGAGTTACCCAAAAAGGATGGCACTTGGATGGCGCTTGGCACCCACAATCTCTCTGTGGGCTGTACCCATCTGTGCAGCTGCACCCAACGTCACCCCGCAGCAGGGTTCCCATTGGCCCACTGTAGGGTTGCCAACCCCCCCCCCCGGTTTGCCAGGGGTCTTCAGTTTTGGGGGGGGTTCTACCCCCCGCCGGCCAGATCGCCAGCGGCGGAAGCCGCACCCCCAACACCCACACCCACCCCTCTCTCTCCCTTTAAGTGTGTGGAACCCGTGTTTCCTCCCAAGCCCGATCTCCGCTTGAGATCAGGCTTGCAGGGAAATGCCACCTTCGTGCACTTAAAAGGGAAACACGGCTGCTCTTAAAGGGGAAACGTTGGCTCCTGCATTTAAAAGGGAAACGCCGGCTCCTGTAAGTGCAGGCAACTGCCGTTTCGGGAGATCTGGCACGCAGGCGGGGGGGGGGGCGGCGGACGTCCCCAATGTGACATCATCACGTTGGGGATGCCCCGCCCCCTCCAGGAACGCCCCCAAAGTCCCCCACTGGGGGTGGAAGATGGACTTGGCAACCCTAGCCCACTGATGGTGGGAGATCTTAGTGTTGCCAGGTCCAGGTTGGGAAATACCTGGAGATTTGGGGAGGTGGGGCCTGAGGAGGGTGGGGCTTGGGGAAGGGAGGGGCCTCAGCGGGGTGTAAAGACATAGGATTCACCGCCTAAGCCGGCCATTTTCTCCAGGCGAATTGATCTCAGTCGCCTGGAGATCGGACGTAAGCCCAGGGGATCTCCAGCCATCACCTGGAAGTTGGCAATCCTAGGAGGCTTCCAGGCAGTTGCACCCCCTGCTTGCCACTGCACAGCGGATCAGCCGCAACCAGCGACAGCAGTGAAAAGTAGAACTAAATCAGAGGCTTATGCCTTAAGGGATCGTGTTAAAATAACTATACCATGCAATAAGGGAATGGCGACAAATTCACAACTGCCCATGATATAAAGAGCCCTGGGGGGGGGGGGGGGGGGGGGGGGGGGCGGGATCTGAGATGTTTTTGACCACCATAACTTGGCTGTCTCCGTAGCAAGATTCAATGTTCCCTCTAAGCTGTGGGGTCTCGCAAGCTAAAATTCTACTTTGTGAGCTACTGGCCTTAAAGTTGCGAGCGAGCGATTTGGCTACTGCATCTATCAGTTTGCTCTGGAGCCCTCCTTCCTGAACTAAGACAAAAATGTGTGTGCCGAAGGCTAAAAAAACCTGTCAGCTAGCTCACACTAGCTCAGCTTAGAGGGAACGCTGTTCGGAACGCAATCAGGGGTCACCCTTCTAGAGTTTAGTTAACTGTCATGGAATGTATTTATTGCAAAGCTTTATTTAACCAATCTCAAAGAAAGCACCATTTTGCCAAAGATACCTGTGGGCCTGATCCATTGGGAAGGTCTCCCGCGTGACACAGTGAAGGGGAGTTCTTCCAATGCATTTAACTGTGGCACCCCCCCCCCAAGGTGGATCAGGCCCTGTTTTTTAAGAATATGTAATATTTTTGTATGCCTAAAGCAAAGCTTTTTGTTATGTGTTTCCTCAAATAAGTAAGGGTGTTTTAGAAAAAAAAATGTATTGTGAGAAATGGGTTGCGGACAGAAACCAGTGAGAACTTCTGTTTCACAGGCCCCGTGCGCTGACATAGGAAGTGTGCCAAAGCAACTGGGCACTGATGCTCACGGCCTGAAGCATTAAGACCTTTAAATCAAACATTTAATGGTCCATGAGCGTGACCCTTCTTAGCCCCGTTAATATGCATAGGAAGGCTCAAAGTCAAATACTCCAGGCTAAAGTTCTGAAGTTTCCATCCACTGGCTACAGTTCTCAAACATTTCTTCTGTGCAAGTATCTCCCTCAATGAAAGGGGATTGGGTCCATCTGTTTCCCTCTTCCTTCCTTCTCTTATTCTTTATGCACTAATTTGGGGGACATGCTACTTTTGCCGAAATCCAAACATTGTTTATTGCAAGTCCCTTTAAATTGAGATTTAAAATGGGATAGATTCACGGAGGACGAGTCTATGACAACTCAATGGAACCTCCATGTACAGAGGCACTATATCTCTGGGCACCAGATGCTCCAGGCGACACAAACGGGAAGACCGCAACTTCCTTTTTGGCCTGCTTGTGAGTTTCCCAGGTATGTCTTAGAATCACAGAATCATAGAGTTGGAAGGGACCTCTAGGGTCATCTAGCCCAACCCTGAGCACTGTTCAAAACAGGATGCTGGACTAAGGCCCCAGTCACACGGGCCAGATAACGTGTGGGGGAGGCGTGGCTGTTCGCCCCGGAGCAAAATAAAGCGCGGTAGCCCGATCACTCGGTCCCCCGAGTCTCCATGCTTCGACTGTTAGCTGGCGAGCTCACGGCGATGCCGCAGCGTGGCAAAGAAGCGGCGCAGCGCGATCAAACAAGCATTTTGCATTTGTGCGCATGTGCAGTTCTGCGGAGCAGCACTGCTTTCAGTTTCATGTATGTGCGGATGCGCTTACGAAAAACATCCGGTTTGCGACGGGACGTGGACGGGCGCCGGATGCCACGGGATACTAGCGCTCCCGCGATCAGACGCCCACCCCTGCTCCGCGTTTTCCGGATACTAGTGCACTTTCCTTGGTACTTTTTAACTCCGCATCTTCGGCGGGACGCCACGGGTTGGCCACGGGTGCACCACGCTTCCCAGATGTTGCGGTGTGACCGCGCCCCAAAAATCCGCCCGACATGCGTGCCTTTTGCATGGCAATTTCTCCGTGCGACCGGGGCCTAGGTTGAACTTCTGTCTGATCTAGTCGGGAATTCTTAGCTTCTTCCACATGACGTAGATTTTCAGAGCACACGTCCTATATATATATCCTTCCCCCCATTTTTACCAAACTAAGTGTCTTCGGTAAAGTGCCTTTGATGAGTCCTAACATTGCTAATGCTGCTTTGCTATTAAGGCCCCTGACAATCATGAATCGCTTGTTGCCTTTTAACCGACTGCTGCTTTAATATGTCTTTTGCGGGAAGGGTCAAAGGACGAGTCTGTTATCTCATGCCATCCAGTAGGAGGCCTCCTGCTAGGGTTGCCATCTCTGGGTTGGGAAATTCCTGGAGATTTGGGGGTGGAGCCTGAGGAGGGTGGGATTGGGGGGAGGGATCGAAGGAGGATATAAGGCCATGCAGCCCAACCTGCAAAGTTGTAATTCTCTCCTGAGGAACTGATTTCTGTAATGGGGAGATGGCCTTGCAATTCTGGAAGATCTCCAGAGCCTACTTGTAGGTTGGCAACCAGGTATTAGGAAGTAGCAAAGAACAGCAGAAAACAACTGTGAGCTGAATGACCCGCAAAAGTATATACCCAGAAGGAGACTTCAACAAAGTGAAATGCTCATGCAATCAAGAATGAATCTATACATAGAATCCATCATAGGAAAATACAGAAGCCCACAGGATCCATGGAAGGAAAATACAAAGTCCAGAGTAGAGGTCCAACACTTTTCCTAGGTAGTATTCAGTGTTTCAGACTATAGGAAGTCTCATTCCATTTCCTTGTAGGACAATACTGTTCAGTTTGGTCCTGTTACATAGAAG